ATCACTAAAATAAAATCAAATTAAATCATTTCATCTGTGAACATTTCTGTGTACAGCTAGTATTTTCTTGTGACATGGAAAATCACATACCTTGACTGACATTCTGTATACGGTTTTCATATTCTTCTGGAGGGACTTGAGTGTGAAACACCGGGAAAAAAGTATCTTCATGCTCATAGCAAGAAGGATCTATTGATTTTAAAAAGTCACTTGTTCAATACACACAGAGTAAATAAGGAATTGTTTACATAAACAGTTGTTTTTTTTAAAAAGATAAGGTCTAATATTCTTTTCAATATTCAATTCCCTCTACAAACATATTTCTTAAGACAATGTCACTTTCAGGTAGAAATAATCATCATCTTTGTACCCACGAGCCACTGAAACAAACAGAAAAATCAAGATAGTCAATAGCATTTTCCTAGAACTTCTGTGCAAAGAGGTTGTACAGGGTGTGCTAAAATATCACGTTAACTCTCTAGAGGTAATGTTTCCAAATTCCAACACTCATAATACAGAGAATGTACATAGTGAATAACTGTGTTTTTATTTTCTTATTTTAGATCCCCAAGGTAAAGAATTCAGATATATGGTCAGTCATTACCATAAAAGAATGTGTTTGGAAAAAAACACTGGGGAGACACATAGGAGTTAGCTTTCTTCTTTTGTGATTTATTCTCTTGGGCTAATACCCATAAAGAAATTGGAAAATTGTGTTTTTCAACTCTTTTCATTTAATGTAATTTGTCTTATTTTCCTATTAACTGATTTTAGACACTGTATATTTACGAAACTGCTGACATAAATAAATATCCCTTTTTAAAGTCTCTCTCTATGCCTTAACATGAGAGAATCTGCCAGGTTGTGGCACAGAATGTTTTTGCTTAAGAAAACATGAAAAGTCTTGAAGATATTACAGGATTCACCACCTTATCCACTCTGAGATGATACAGGCCAAGGAAGCAGGCAAAAGATACATTTACCTCAACACACAAACATCACCAAATTCAAAACATACAAGTTCTGATAGTAAAAACAAATTCATCAATTCCAATTCCCTAATTTGGAATTCATACTAATGTAGCATCATCAAGACTGACATTACAACTTTAATCCTTGTATAATCTCTAATGAGTTAACCTAGCAAATTAGCGGTGTTAAGCCTTGCAGAGAAAGGGGTAACCTACTCAAAATATATAAGGTTTAAAATTCTTTTCAAACTTTAATTTTTTACAACTACTATTATTAATGTTCTTCAGTATTCATTAAAGTGGGCTCTGTAAGCCAGCAATTTGTTAACATTCTATTATTGGTTTAAGTTACATCATATACTCAAAGTGGTAATATATTTGTTTTTCAAGCCATAATTCTTTTTTAATAGCAGTTTCACTCAATTTTATACTAAAGCACCTAAAAAGGCACAAAAATATGAAAATCTGCAATACCAAAAACTACTATAGCAAGTTGATACTGAAGCTTTTAAACCTATGGGCTTTTCCTGGGCTAAAATGTTTCTTGTGACCCTGTGGTTCTTCACCCATAGTCTCTAGGGTATTCATTGCCTCAGACAGAAGATGGGTACAGCCTAGAACAAAGGCCTCATTGCTCAGCTTTGAGTTTAAAAGACAACAGTTTTGAAAGGCAGGCATTCAATTGCAGGTGCTTAATTCCTTGAGAAAAAGAAACACATTTTCTGAATTCCAAAAATCCTCCCTTAGAAAACTCTCCTACAGTAAAAAAAACGAAAAAAAAATTAACGTAGTAGAAATGACAGAACTAGAAAATAACCATTTGGTAACCATCATAATAAATAATTGATTCAGATAGGAATCATCAATGGATGACAAAACTCATGTGTGAAAGTTTGCAAAAATAACAGGATAATATCCTCAGAGTATCCCCACCACAAGATAACTTATTCAGTTAAAAAAGGAAACTAGCAACTTTACAGTGGAGAAACATGGAAGACACCACCTTAACCAAATGATCAAAGTAACATCACCAGTAATGGAACAATCGACATCACGCGCTTCCTGATGTGCTTCATTGAGAAGTACACAGTACCACTTCTATGGGATTTCTGCCAAAAATGCATAACCTGAACCCAGTCATGCGGAAACAAAAACAAATCCCAAACTAGACAACAGTCTACAAAATAACAGGCCTATAGTTTCAAAAATGCCAATGTCACAAAACACAAAGAATGATTAAAAAGATGTGACAATTAAATGTAATGCATGATCTTAGATTTTCTTTTGCTATAGAGGATTTTAGTAGGACAATGGGCAAAATATCAATAAAGCCTGTAGATTGGATAATAGTATTGTATCAATGTTATTTTCCCAGTGTGTATGTATGTGTGTGTGTGTATGTGTGTCCTTGTGTGGACAGGAAGACAGAGGATGTGGTAAAATGTTAACACTTGGAGAATCCGGGTAAAGGGAGTTTGAGAATTCGTTGTACTTTTCTTGAGACTTTAAGTCTGAAATTATAAAAAAATTAAAAGTTAATAGGAAAAAATTTTAAATCCCTCTCCTCATTACAAATATTTATCTAGGGGAAAAAAATCTCCCTTTGGAGATCAAGGGCCAGATCTTGAAGGACTGAGCACCATTTTTAATAAGAGTCTTGAAAAAGGAAGATGACAGGACATGATTAAGTTGTTTCCTGCCACCTGGGAAGAAAGCTCATCCCAGACAATGGAAAGGACCTAGAAGAGCATCAGAGGGGGTGAGTGTAGAATAGACACAAGTGGCACATGTGTGAGGCTACTCCCTGGCACTCATCCCCTTGGAGGTGAAATCCTGGAGATGGATAGAGATCACCAAAGGCACTGGGGAACCCAGAGCAGAGTGCACTTGGCCTCACTGCACACCAGGTCCACTGGGCGGACACTCCACACACAGAGCTCCACAGCTACCCGGGACAACTCCAAATTATTATTGTTTTCTCTAGCTTCTTCAGGTAAATTAGTTAAGCTCATTTTATTTTCTACAAAGCAGCTCCAAAGCAGCAATGACAGTGTAGCCTATTTATAGGGAGACAGGGCCTGAAATATCCACTCTCTCTTTCTCTTTCTCTCTGCCTCTCTCTCTCCCATGTGCACACACACAGAAACATGACACACAATTCCCCATGGCCAGCCTGCGGCAGAGAGGAGATCCAGAAGTTCTCATTTGTCCCTGTGAACTATAAAAAGGCCTCTCCCACCACACATCATTTCGCCAACCAAAAATGCACAAATCTAAATGGCCCTTGCCACTGAGAACTGCTCTATTAGACTATAAAGAAAATTCCAAGAAATTCAAAATATCAAAATAATGACCATAATATTATAAATTTCTATTTTAGCTTTTAAAACATAGAGCTTATAAAAAATTCTGGAGAACACGAGAAAGGCACTAGCATTTTCTAATTAACTATTAGGTCAGTGAGGAACTAAGCATACAATAATAACTTACAGAGAATGATGACATAACAAAGAACACAATATAGAGAGAAATCTGTATTCAGAAACAAATTCACAGCAATGATGCTTTGATCATACTGTTATAGATTGAACTGTACCCCCTCAAAATTCATATGTTAAAAGCCCTCACCCCCAATGTGGCTATATTTTAAGGAGATAATTAAAGTGAAGTGAGTTTATTAGGTGTGGTTCTAATCTGTTAGAACTGGTGTCCTGACAAGAAGAGGAAGAGACACCAGAGATGTCTTCACTCCACCCCCTTCTCCTCTTCCCTTGTGCACAGAGCAAAGGTCATGTGAGGACACAGTGAGGTGTCTGTAAGCCAGGAGGAGAGACCACCAAAAAAACCTGAATTTTCTAGTAGTTGATCTTGGACTTCTAACCTCAAAAACTGTAAGAAAATAAATCTCTGCTATTTAAGCCACCAAGTCTGTGGGGTTTTTTTATGGCAGCTCTAGCAGACTAATATACATATTTTAAGAAAAAATAAAATGAGCTTAACTAATTTAAGTGAAGAAGCTACAGAAAACAATAACAAAACACATTCAAAAAAAGAAATAATCAAGATAATCAAGATAATCATTAGAATTAGCAAAGAAATTCAAAACTGGTTCATGAAGGTATAAAAAGAAAAATCCTCAAGTATAATTTTAAAAAATAAAACACTAATTGCAGTCAAGATAGCATGATATTGGCAAGAGAATAGCCATATATAGATCATTGGAAAAGAACAGAGGATTCAGAAATAGACCCACAAAAATATAGTCAACTGATCTTTAACAAAAAAGAAAGGCAACTGAATAGAGAGGGGATAATCTGCTCAACAAATGGTGCTGGAAAAACTGGATGACCGAAAGCAAAAAAAAATTTTTAAAGAACCTAGACACAGACCTTTACTTTTCACAAAGTTAAATCAGACTGGATTGTACACCTAAACAGCAAAGGAAACCATAAGTAAAACAAAACAACAACCTACGGAATGGGAGAAAATTTTTGCCAACAATAAAACCGACAAAGGCTTGATCTCCAGAATATATAAGCAGCTCATACGACTTAATAAGAAAGAAACAAACAACCCAATCCAAAAACGGGCAGAAGACCTAAACAAGCAATTCTCTGAGGCAGAAATACGAATGATTAACAGGCACATGAAAAAATGCTCTATATCACTAATTATCAGAGAAATGCAAATCAAAACTACAATGAGGTATCACCTCACACCAGTTGGAATGGCCATCATTCAAAAGTCCACAAACGATAAATGCTGGAGAGGCTGTGGAGAAAAGGGAATCCTTCTACATTGCTGGTGGGAATGCAGTTTGGTGCAGCCACTGTGGAAAACAGGATGGAGAGTCCTCAAAAGACTAGGAATAGACTTACCATATG